TCAAGAAATTTAGCGAAAGATACTTAGCACTGTTCATTTAATCCATCATTTCTACCATAGTATTTACCACCACAGTCGGATCTTAAGGCCTTAATCCTTATGTTGAGTTGATTTTCAACTTCAACCTTATAATTTTTGAACACGTCCCAAGCTTGAGATTTCTCATGAATAAAATACAAATATCCATATCGAGAATAATCGTCAATGAAAGCAATAAAATATTACTATCCATTCAAAGATGTCATATGAAATGGTCCACAAATATCTGTATGAATCAATTTTAAGACTTGTGAATTAATACTAAAACTTTGACACATGTGTCAAAGTCTTTAAAATCAAGGGAATCAAGAATTTCTTTTGACATTAGCTTTTCAATTATCTTTTGAAAAATGTGGCCTAACCTTTTGTGACATAGAGAGAATGAATTCTTATTTTCTTAACTTCTATTTTGTACCAATAAAACTTATTTAGAAGGATTGTTCTGAAGAGACTTTAGTGTCAACCAAATATAAGTTATCATAAGCACAAAGACTTCTAGTCCTATAAGTATTGAATTTTGAAAAAGATTAAACTTTCTATCTCCAAATGAACAATGATAACCAGATTTGTCCAAAACAGAAATAAAAATCAAGTTACGCCAAAAAGATAGTACAACAAACGTCCTATTCAAATACAAATGATAGCCGGTTTTCATTGTAACTTTAAAGACACCAACAACCTCGACCTTCCTCGTATTGTCATCACCTTGATAGATGAATCGTTCATTTTCATTTGGCTTGCGATGACTAAGACAACCCTACATGAATACACTCACATGAGTAGTAGCATTGGAATTTACCCATCATGTGTATCTTGGTACAAAAGCTAGATTAATTTCTGAACAAATAAAAGAGAGAAACAAACCTTTCTTCTTGAACCATTCAAGACGTTTAGCACAATCTTTCTTCAAGTGTCCAACCTTCTTACAAAAGAAATAATGTACTTTCTTTCATTGTTTCTTCTTAGGTGATTTTTTCATTAATCAACAATTTATTTGCCTTTGTGTTTTTCTTTACCCTCTACTTTTTCTGATGAGGATAGAGTGAGATGAGCACTTTCACATTATTTTGATTTTAACCTCTCCTCCTCTTACACACAATGTGAAATGAGCTCATTAAGAGACCAATGGTCCTTTTGATAGTTATAGCTCACTTTAAGCTGATTGAATTGTGTAGGAAGACAGTTCAAAGTCATATAAATAATGGACTCTTCCAGAAGTTCCAAGTTTAATACTTTTAATCTAGAACGAATGTGAAATATTTCTATTATGTACTCTCTTATATGTCTTTTTCTTTTATACTTCATATTAGTAAGGCGATACATGAGAGTATTAGTCTCAGCTTTATCCTTTTTATGATACCTCTTCTCAATTTTTAGAGGAGAAGTTTGGCATCGATTACTTCTTCGACTAAAGTATCCCTAGGATATCAAAAATTGTGCACTTGATGACCATTAAGCACATGGGGTTAATCTCTCTCAATTTTTATAAGCCTTTTTTTCCTCGATAGAAGAAGAATCCTTAATGGCCTTGGGTTGATCATTCCGCAAGGCATAGTAAAGATTTGAACCACCCAAATATAGTGATATAAATTCCTTCTATTTCTTAAAATTGGTACCATTTAACATTGGAATGGAATTTAAATTTATGCAAATATCTAAAACCTTTTTTGAGTCTATGTAAAGAATAAATAACTCACATGAGTAAAATTTTAAAGTAAAAATTCAAACAATGATATTTTCCATCTCAAGCAATCCAGCACTATATTAATATTTATCTTTGGATGATATATTAATTTATAAGTGATCATCTTAACACGCTAGTCAAAATGGTTAAATAATAAAAGATGACAAACAATAAGCCTTCCTTTGAGCCAACTTAGTGTTTCTTTTCATCTAAATCAATAATTGTAAAGTTTACTAGCATTGATGTGATTATTATTTGCCCAAACACTTATTTTCCTTTGGGTGAACAAGTGTTCGCATAAATAATATCACATAGTCATCATGGTATTTTGAAATGGACACTTTTAACATATTGATTACTAAAGTCCATTTAAAACAAAATGTTTGGCAAATACATATGTTTGAATTGCCATGTATACATTAAATTCGGTCAAATATTTATTTTCCTTTAGGTCAATAAATGTTCGCGTGAATTTAATGCATATGATTTTATTACATATGAACCAATATAATGTCATATTTTATCTTCATAATACACTATCATGGCACAATTTAATTGAATTAAAATGTTGAGACTTGCTCAACAATTTCTAAGAAAAATATTAAATAATTTGGAAATAAAGTGAATTAATAAATTAAATTATCAGAATAGTAATGAGAGAATATTAAAATGGGCAAAAATGCCCTTTAAAACCCATGTTGGGCTGGACTTGGCAGGACAACCTTGTGGGCTGTGCCTGGCGCGGCAGGCCTAGTGGGCTGCGCCTGACCCGGCGGCCCTAGTGGGCCGCGTTAAAAAAGGGGGCCAGCTCGCACACAAGCTGAGCGGCCTAGTTGGCCGCTGTCAGGCCTGAGCCCATATCGCTGGGCTGACTCAGTGGGCCACGCCAGTGAGCAACCAGGACGGGGATCCAACAGACACTAGGAGACGCTGCACAGCGACGCTAGAGTGCGATCCGACAATCGCCGGAAACGATGGCAGGTGCCGCAATACCCTAAGGCGACGCCGTGATGGCGCATGACCTCCAGAGGCTGCAAGGCCGCGTCGCGAGTTGCGCGACCTCCGGCGACGCCGTCAGGTCTTTCCGCGCCATTGCGCGGCCATTTTTAGTGACATAAGGACGCCGAAGACGATAAAAAACACAGCAAATTCAAGCGTCAGAAAGCACGATGAAACGGAAAAAAAAAATCATCGACGACCATGAGCTCTAATACCAATTGATAGAAACGAAGTTGCGGAAGCGTACCGCTGGAATCCATGACACGGGATGGCCTTCTACTTCTATCACCAAGGAATTACTCCTCTAGCAGATGGGGACCTTGAGGATTTCAACAATGATGTAGGGACCAAAGCCTTGAATTCATAGCCTCAAAAAGAGGCTCGATGGTTTCAATCCCTTCCATCAAAGGATTGAAACCGTTGACCGATTTCCACACGATCTTCCTCCATACCCTATTCTATAATGCCTCAAAAGTGGCTGTTGCAATAACCGACATGCACAACAATGGTCTGTGCAGCCCACTCAACGGAAATATCCAACAAGGAGCCATTTTGACTGGGGGAGACGACCAACGACGACATAGATTCGGCGAAGAAGTTCGTCACGAACTTGTTCTTCAACCCCACTCTCCGATGGTAAGGAGCTCCCTCTCCCTCTCCTCGGAGATCCTTCCTGATAAGGAGAGATCCATTCTCTCCGTCCAAGACCGCCGGAGGAGGGAACCTTTCGTATGAGCCCCAGGGTGTCAGAGAAGGCAGAGTGGACAAAAAAAGGAGACGCAGGCGGTGGCGGTGGAGCCGAAGGGGAGCAACGTAGATTTCACGCACGGGCTTTCGGTCCCCTTCTTTAAGTGGAAAGCCTTTTGAAGCACGTGATCCAATGTCCAGATGCGGATAAGCTCTAAATTCCAGCAGGCTGGCTTTTAGGGTGCATCAACGTACGGATGCGAGTGGGATATTTGTCGTTGGATTGTACTCCAAAAAGGAGATCCGAGAACTAGGAGCTTCTTGATTATCAAGGTAAAATTATTTGTGAATCTCACAATTTCAATGTGTTGAATTATAAGTCGTAAGGTTTTCAATTCATTTTGAATTATCTTGATAGATATAGAAATCTAGTGATATTTACATCCATTTAATCTTATTATTACTTGTAAATTTTATCTTGATAGATGTAGTCCTTGACATTTTATATTTGAAAGTTTCTTTTAAAAAATAACCCTTGATGAGAATTAGATAAGCTTCCCAGTACACTATGTGGACAAGCGCAAAGGAGTTGATGCAGGACTCATCCGCATCAGAAAAGCTTCCTCTCGAGTCTACTAGGGCCCAATGGGCTGGAATTAGAAACCAGAAAATCTAGTTATTTTATCGGGTCATTAAAAAATACGTCATCTTTCCTCTACAAGGAGGGAGGCGATCCATCTGAATGGTGTTATTAGCTAGAGATACTCTTCATTTACCAAGGTATGCGATCAAAATATTAGGGAAAATGTCAAGTTTGGCTGATCATGTGCACAACAAAATGAGAAAAAAAAAGAAGAGCAAATGAATGACGCGATAATGGCATTCTAGATCAATATTATACGGGTAGGTATGAGAAATATTCTACACACTCGAAGGGTGAGATTGGTAGTTTTATATATTTTGTTGAAACCGTGTTCATCCGTTGAGTGGGCTGAGACAGGGTAAAATACGCGGTGATTGGCGGGTAAAAGCCGGGTAAAATACGTCAAAATCTCCTGGGAGACAGCTGTCCGCAACAATTGGCGGACGTCTACTTGTGCGCGTCATCAGCAGCCGCCAGCTGCAAGTGGCGACGTCATCAGATGACGTCACTTGGCTGAGGTAAATATGATTAGCGCGGCAATATCGGGATTTGCGCCATCTCGGAGAAATCCAATTATTGTGCAGAATCGGTCCTACCCTATCGTTTCCTCTGGTTCTCCAGATCGGACGGGAACCGATCGTTCGTCGTCTACTTCTCTGGTTTCCGATCTCCCTCCTTATCTTCTGTTAAACGGGAAGAGATGATCCTCATAGTCGACGAACAAGTCCGTGGCGGCGAAGAGAAGAGTGAATACATCTGAATTTCAAGCGTTCTGCGGGAGGAGATGAACGAGACCGGAAAGGGATCGACCTATAACTAGATCGCACACAGGCAGACGGCGACTCTTCGCGACAAGGAAGAGCAGGAAGAAATCGGAATTAACAGGAAGAAACCAGGGGGAGGCGCCGCCGCCACCGCCGATGCCGCCACCGCGAGTTCGGGAAGGCGTTATCTCGGCGAGTTTCCTCGCCGGGACGATGATTCGGATGCGCTCCCCGGGCTGGGACCGTCGCCGGGGCTCTTGGCCCCGCTCTGACCAGGCGAGCAGACCAACGATTTGAATGATCCGGCGAATTCCGTGATGATCTTGTTCTTGATCTCCACTCTGCGAGGGTAGGGGTTCCCTCTTCCACCCCTCGGAGATTCCGACTCGGGGAGGCCCATTCTCTCCGTCAAAGACCGCCGGAGAGGCGGAGAGCAGACGAAAATACGAGAGACGCAGACGGCGGCGGCGGCGATGGTTGAGCCGAGAGGAGCCGTTCTGCGCAGCCTCCCACCCCCCCTTCTTAATGGGTAGTGGACAGCCTATTACTGCACGTGATGCAATACATCCCGTGCAGATAAGCTTTATGCTTTTGGCTACTAGCCAGTGGGGGCGGTCCTAGTGGGATAATTGGTCTGGTTCTACCCCACGGGATAGTGGCTCGGCCAAGCCCAGAAATTTCCGAGTCCTTTTGACTCGCCCGCGACCTTATAGAAAACCACCGAGGGGGAACCTGTGGGCGTCGCCCATGGATTTAGAAGGGGCAAATCATTAAACGACTAATGAGGGAATTATGAACAAAAAAGGGAGCGATAGAGCTGTTAAAACCAAGACCAGCGGCCCGTCACCGGTTGTCTTCCCCGCGCCGGCGGCGACCTAATCGACGGGATCATCGGCGGAGTAAACCAGCTCAACAGGGTTCTTCATCTTCGGAGGGCGGGGAGAAGAAAACCTGAAAATCTCCTTCCGCCCCTCCTCGCCGGGACTGACGCCACCGCGACGACCGAATTGAAGAGTATCCCAATGATCTTCAACTTAATCTGCCCTCTCCTAGGCCGGCGGCTGCTCGTCGACTTCCGCCGCCCGCCGTCCGCCTCCCCTCCGTAGGCCATCTCCGGGAGCTAAGGCGGCTGGGGTGGTGAGCGATTAGCTGACTCCGGAGTGGACAGGAGAAGCGTGTGGCTCTCAGGCGCCGCGCTGGGCAGTATGTATGGAGATTTGACGGGTTTCCTTCGGTCGTAAGCTTCTTATTCCCGCCGGCTTGGTCGTCGCGCCGGCGGCAATCGGTGCAGGGGAGGGCCCGCCTTCGCCATGAGCTCCACAGTGAGGTGCAGGGGGTCAGAACGAGTGCACAGCTGTTTGACGACGATAAGGAGAGGACGGGGAAGAAAGACTCGTTAGTAGATTCCACCCACTGACTTCACCACGCGTGCGTGTCGCTTCACATGTGACCGTCCTTCGAGATACTATATGCTGTTAGGTGGTCCGGGTTAACGTAGTGGTGGTATTATAAACTTTTTAAGAGATCTAAATGTAAATGAATATCACATTTTGAGTTAATTCACATTTTGAGTTTCTATTTTTTTATATCACTTTGTGATTCATGACTCATATCACAAGATTATGATTTGTAAGGGTAAAAAAGATAGAAAACCTTTATGTTTTGGATACAAAGAATATTTTCTATCATTATTTCCAATGATTCTCCTGCATGCCTACTTGATAATTATTAAATAATTACAAAATTTTACAAAATATTTTTAATCACACCTTGGTATGACATAATATGCCATTTAACTTTTAAAATCCTAAACGCAGTATAAAATAATTGTATCTTAACTCCTCAACATTAATGAACAAACCTATATTATATATATTTTTAGCAAAGCAATAGATACTTTTTTTTAATAATAATATTTCCAAAGATTCAATTCGATTTACATACATTTTTCTTATGAAGAATTAGTTGGATGTCAAAGCTATTGTTCTTAAATATCTTAATTTAATTTACAGTTAGCTTAACTATAAATCAAACATTTTACATCTAACAATGCTAGAAGACTTGGCTTCAATGATTTATTTAGGGAGCATGTTAAGTAATTTGACCCAAATAATTTTGTTTACTTAGATGTAAACATTAATATTTATTATGTGTTGTTAAAGTTATTTTTTCAATCACACATTTCACTACAATTTTGGATGTATTATATATTTATAATCATATTTATCATCAATAGATTGCAATCTCTTTTTATCAACAATATAAGTTCTGATGAAAGTATTCAACCATTTAACCTTTGCCCACACTATCTACAAAAAAACATAAATTTCATCCTTGTATTTGACTTTTACTATAAGGGATCTCTAGATTTATAAAATTAGATCTAATTCTTGATACAAAGCTCAGTCAATTGTTAAGGGATAACACAACAAGAAATATTTAATTTTCTTGAATCCTTTTCTTAGGTTCCAAGATAGGTAACTACTAAACTCAAGTTAGTCATTGCATCCAAGAACAATTGACATCTTGTTTACTTAGATGTTAATAATTATTTTATGAATACAGATTTATTGGAAAATTTGTACATGAACATATCTTTGAGATATCAAAACAAAAAGAGATCTTATTTGTAAATCACACTAGGTTCAAGGTGTAAAATTCTAAGTCAGAAGGTTTCCAGGTCATAGTGAATTATCTTCATATATATAGAAAACTAGTGACACATGTATTAATTTTATTCTTATTATTATTATTACATTTATCTTAACAGATATATCCGTTGATTTTTTATACTGGAAAGTTTGTTTTTATGACTACCCCTTATGAGAAGGTGTTAAGCTTCCTTGCACACTTTGTGGACAAAGGGCAAAGGCAAGGCTATTGACGGGCTAGTTGGGCTGGGCGGGTGGGCTTTTGGGATCCAAACCTTGAGGCTCCTAGGGCCCAATTTGCTTAAATTAGAAAATAGAAAACACTAGTTATATTATCTTGGTCATTAAACGTGTTCCATATTTCCTTTACAAGGAATGGAATAATCTTTTTGAATGGTGTTATTAGATACAGACACGCGTAATCTTTCTTTACAATAGAATGTGGTTGAAATATTTGCAAAAATGTTAGGTTTTACTAATCACGTGCTCTAGAATTCCACTATGGTATCATTCATTCACTCTTTTTTGTTCTCATCTTGTTTTGATTTATAAGGGTACACATGAAAAAGATTCTAGATGCCGATGCTGTGCGAACTCAGTGGTGTGATTGGTAGTTTCACGAGTTTTTTGTAAAGTTTTAATGAAACGGTGTTCATTAGTTGACTATGTTGATCATGTGACGCGTCTTCGACTAAATTGTCAACTCAGTCAATCTACAGGCATCGTACCATCTTCGGAGTGTTGGTCGAGTGGGCTGGGGAAGGGTAGGTTCGCGACGACTTTGATGTATGCTATTTAAACCAATAAAAAACGTGTGAACATGTTTAGATTTTCAATTGGGCAGCAGTAGAAAAAGGGTTAGTGGGAGCTTGGACGCTCCACTTTGCTGGGGCCAGGTGGCGGGACAATTAAGTCGTTGGCTGGCGCCCCCTAGCTCGATAAATATGACATGGCCGGTAATATCGGGAGTCAGCCATATCGAAGGAATCCAAATCCGTGGATGGAATTCCTCTACCCTGGCGTTTACTCAGGTTTTCCTGGTCGGATGGGGGCTGATCGTTCGTCATCTTCAGGTTGAACACTTAGGGATAATCGTCGTAGTTGATGAACAAATCCGTGGCGGTGAAAGGAGGGAATAGCATCTGAATTTCAAACGTTCCGCAGGACGAGATGAACAGGGCCGGAAATGGATCGACCTCTGGACCACACACAGAGACAGACGGCGATACTTCGGGATGAGGAAGAACCAGAAGCAATCGAAATGAATTCACAGGTCCGGAAACCGATCGACCTCTGGACCACACTTTGAGGCAGACGGCGATACTTCTGGATGAGGAGGAACCAGATGCAAGAGGAATCAATTCACGGGGCGAGGCGGACGAAGGAACCAGTCACCGCGAGGCCGAGGAGGCGTCATTTCGGCGAGCTTCCGTACGGGGACGGTGCTCCCTGGACTGGCACCGTCGCCTGGGCTCTGCGGCCGCCTTGACGGGGGCAGCAGAACACCGATCTGATAAACTTGGCGAAAAAGTCCCTGATGATCTTGTTCTTGATCTCCAGCCTCCGAGGGTGGGGGTTCCCTTTACCACTTCTCGGAGATTCCGATCGGTGGCAACCCATTACCTCCGTCCTTGACCGGTGGCGGACGAAAGTAGGAGACGCAGGCGGAGGACTAAAGTAGGAGACGCAGACGGCGGCGGAGCCGGAGGGGAGCGCTCTCTTGATTGTGTATTCTCCTTCGTACAAGGTTACACGAAGTACATTGAGACCAGCCAAAGGCTCAATATGGTATTTATAAGGGGAAACCGGCCCAAAGATCATCCCAAGTTTGGTCAGGGAGAGGGTTGACTTAGTCGCCCTAACCTCCCCCGAGTAGGACTCACAAGTTGGGTTAATAGTTCCCCAAGTGGGATCCACACGTACCCTTAGAGAGACTGACCTACCTGCCCAAGGTTGGACTCAGTAGCGACGTTGAGTTCCAGAACGGGGGTCTACACCTAATCATTGATTTAGAGGCCCTTACCTTCCCCGTCCCACGGGGTGGAACTCGGTCAATCGGAGATGTCCGAAATCATTTGCTCCCTCCCCCACTACCCCACCCCGGAGTGGGCCCATGGTATTAAGTAGGGCCAGATCATTAATACACGGACTCAGGGGTCAGGTACACACACCCCATGACATGGGAATGGACATAAATCTATAGATTCTGAAATTACGAACAAGAAGGGGAGCGACAACAGCCGGGCCATCACCTGTCGCAGGTTGTCAACACCACCACTCGGGGACGACCGGCGAGAACTCTTCTCTCTCGACTTTCTCCTTCCTCGAGTGCCTTCCCATATTCCCCCATATTCTCTTTTTTCATTTGCTCCTCTCTCTTTTGCTCGCGCGGCCGCTGTCTGTGTACATGCTTAGCAACAAAGAACGTCTGAGAAGAGGCCAGACGGGGGTTTTCCAGCTCTCCCCACCTGGTCCTAGCAGCAAGCGCCTGCGTCTACTCCATCGCAGCTGTTCTCTTCTGTTCTGCCGCCCATCAGACATGCCGAGTTTCACGAGGAAGTCAACCCCCCCTTCGCTTTCTCCCCCTCTCCTCCTCTCCTCCTCTCCTCCTCCATTGGATCACCACCTGCTGCCCCGTGTACGCCTATTGCTGACGCCCATCAGAAAATCTTAAACGAAGTCTACTTTCCCGGTGGGGAATGGTACGAGGGTGTAAAACGAACTAGTCCTCCTCGTTAGCCGTTTAACGAAGAAGTTACGAGGGGGACTCTCTTGATCGCCTTTCTAATAATCGGAAATAAGAAGCTCCGTTTTTCCTGCAAATTCCACTTGATGATGCCCTAATTCATGCGAAGTGTGAGGTTTAAGGTGTTGAATTCTGAGTCTGACGGTTTCCAGGTCATCTTGAATTATCTTCATATATATAGGAAACTAGTGATATTTTTATTAATTTAATCTTCTTCTTAGTAGTACATTTATCTTTATATTGTACCCGTTGACTTTGTATGTTTGAAAGTTTCTTTTACCTGTTACCCGTTGGACTCTGTGGACAAGGTCGAAGGCAAGGGTGTCGAAGGGCTAGTTGGACTGAGTGAGTGGGCTTTTTGGGATCCAAGCCCATGAAGGAATCCAAGCCCTGGACGCGTACTTAGGCCCAATGGCCCGAAAGTAAGAAATTCTAGTTATTTTATCGGGCTATTTAAAATACCTCACATTTCCTTTACAATGAGAGAGGCACGATACCTTCAATGGATAATCGCCGTGCTTTTAAAGATAGAATATGATCGAAATATTTGGGAAAATGTTAAGTACGTTTTGCTAATCACGTGCACAACAAAATGAGAAAATAAAAAGAAGAGTTAATGAATAACAACATGGTAGAATTCTAGAGCAAATTTATTGGGTAGGTGAATTCTACACACCGATGCAGCAAACTCGGAGGGTGTGATTGATTGTTTTACATGCTTTTTAATTTTTTTTATTGAAACTGTGTTAATGCGTTGAAAATTGCAATCATGTGTCACGTTTTTGACTGTGTAATGTCAACTTGGTAGTCTACCGAGTCTTGAGTGGGTTTCGAGGGCTTTAATAATATGCTATTTAAACAAAAAACCCGGGGTAAAATACTTCAAAATTTCACTGCAGACAGCTGGTCGCAACAATTGGCGATGGTCAACTGATTGAGATAGGCGCGATACTTCATGATTCTTTCCCCCCCTCACTTCTTTACAGTGGCAGATGGCAGTGGCGAGTTAGAGATGGATGGGAGATGGTAAGGTCTATCCGTGGACTCAAGACGGGGCCTCGGTCAACGTGCGCCCTCATGCAAAGCGCCGCGAGCTAGCGGATACTGACGACATCATATGACGTCACTTAGCAAAGATTAACATCAGCTGCGATGGAATATCGGGACTCCGCCATCCCAGAGGAATCCAATTATTGTGCGGAATTGGTCCTACCCTGGCGCTTCCTCTGGTTTCCGATCTCCCTCCCCCCTTCTGTTGAACACGTAATGTCGTTGTTTATGAACAAAATCGTGGAGGTAAAGGGGAGAGGAAATAGCATCTGAATTTCAAACGTTCTGCGGGACGACATGAAGAAGACGGGAAAGGGATCGGCCTCTAACTAGATCATACACACAGGCAGATGGCGATTCTTCGCGACGAGGAAGAACCAGAATAAATTGGAATGACACTACAGGGTGAGGCGGACGAGGAAACCGGTCACCTCGAGACCGAGAGGGCGTCATCTCGGCGAGCTTCCGCACCGGGACAATGATTCAGATGTGCTCCCGGGGTTGGGTTGCGAGTGGACACCTATTATTGACTCCTCCTCGGCGATGAAACCACCGGAGGCAGCGAGGGGAAGGTTAACGCCGGAGGCCATCTTGGATTCGAAATACAACAGAGGGAGAGAGAAAGAGAACTAAGAGAAGGATAACTCGGACGCTTCGCGTGGCCCGTCGTCACTCCTGAGAGTTCCTTTCTCCGCCATTCACCCTCCTCTGGGCTTAATAAGCTGACGGTGGCATGCCACGTGACAAGTGGGTCCCACGGTTGACGTCCGATGACGAAGCTGAAAATTCAACCTGAAAGTGTGTCACATCTCCGAAGAAAAGAAGCTTAGGACCGAAGGAAACCCGTCAAATCACCATACACACGGGTCAACGCGGCGCCTAGGAGCAGCACGCTTCTCCTCTCCACTCTCGAGTCAGCGAATCGTTCACTACCAGCCACCGGAGCTCCCGGAGATGGCCTACGGAGCGGCGGCGGACAGTGAGCGGCGGAAGTCGACGAGGAGCCGCCGGCCGAGGAGAGGGCAGTTTAAGTGAAGATCCTGGGGATGCTCTTCAAATCGGTCGTCGCGGTGGCGTCAGTCCCCGCGAGGAGGGGTTGAGGGAGGTTTTCAGGTTTTCTTCGCCCTCCGAAGATGAAGAACACTGCCTGAGTTGGTTATCTCCGCCGATGATCCCGTCAATTAGGTCGTCGGCGTGGGAAAAACGGCCGGTGATCTCGCTCCCCTTGTTGTTCATAATCTCCAAATCTAGATCGTGTACATTTATTCTCATGCAACGGTAGGGAATTTGTACTTGTCCCCGCGAGTAAGTCTATTAACGATTTGCCCTTCCTTATAAATCCACGATCGCCCATAGAATCACTTGGTGGTTTTTTGAGACGCTCGCGGGGGAGCCAAGCGATTCGGAAAATTTCGGCTTCGCCGAGCTCTAGCTCGTAGTACAATCAGACGGCGAGTGGACCGCCCCCGATGGGGATCGAAGAAGTGGGCAAGCACCTTCACATTGTCAACACGTCGGCCCAAGCACATTAACGCAGAATTTCCTTAGTCATTTCTGGTTTGAATCCTTAGAGAGGTTATACATAACCTCGTGTAGCCCTAAGAACGAGGAGAGAAGAGAAGAGATTAAGTTCGAGGTTGTTTACCTCTTATCGCTCCGCGAAAAGAGGCCTTGAAGCCGTGAGGGTCAGTTATAGATGGAGGTGGCGGCAGTGACGATGGATAACTGACCCTTACGGCCTCTCCTTGCCGAGCGATAAGAGGTAAACCTCGAACTTAATCTCTTCTCTTCTCTCCTCGAAATTAGAGAGTCCATGGTGCTCTCAAACCCACCCTTGGTGACACTCACAGGTTTCCTCTAGAAACCCTCCTATTATTTTGTTTTTCCTTATGATTTATGCGTGATCTCTCTTTAGCTTCCACTCTTCTTTTGTATTATTGGCTCGAGATCTTATTAATCTACTCCATCATTAGTGTTCTCTTCTGCAACATCATTACTATTTTGAGGAAGTCATCCCGTCCCCCTCCCATGTTGAATCCCCATTTGCTATTACCATGTGCATGCACACGAGGTAGGCTTTTCTATGACCCTTTAGGTCAAACATAGTGTAATGCACACTCATCCTCCTCATTAACCATTTGAAGAAGATGTTACGAGGACTCCATGGATCATCTTTCTAATTTTTCCTGTTTTAAGATTTCAGAAATCGAAAATAAGAAACTTCAACTTTCCTTCATATTCTCCTTGATGTCTATAAATTTGTAACTAAGATGGTGCCCAAATTAATGCTATATGTGAGGTTCATGGTGATGAATTCTGAGACTGAAGGTTTCCGAGTCATCTTTAAATATCGTCATAGAGATAGAAACTAGTGATATTTTTATTAATTTAATCTTATTATTATTAATAATACATTTTATCTTGATAGATGTAGACATTGACTTCGTTTATTTGAAAGTTTCTTTTACCGATTACCCCTTGGTGAGGAGTTAGCTTCCTCGTGCACTTTGTGGACGAGGGCAAAGGCAACGCTGTGGAAGGGCTAGTTGGATTGTGTGGGTGGGGTTTTTGGGATCCAACCCCTCAATTATACTATGGCCAATGTGCTGATATTAGAAAATAGAAAGAAATGTTAATTTATCGGGTCATTAAAAATGCGTGATATTTGCATTACAAGGAATGGCAGGATCCCTGAGAATGATGCTATTAGCTAGAGATACATGACATAATTTTACAACGGAATGCGGTCGAAATATTCGCGAAAATCTCAGGTTTTGCTGATCACGTACAAAAACAAATGACAAGAAAATAACAAGAGTGAATGAATGACACCATAGTGGAATTCTCGATCAATTTTATAGGGGTAGTTATGAAAAAAATTATTCACACCGATACAACAAATCGGAGGATGTGTTTGGTAGTTTTACATGTTTTTTTTCATTTTTTATGGAAACTGTGTTCATGCGTTGACAATGACGATCATGTGACGTGTCTTTCACTATGTAACATCAACACGGGAGCACAAGTACCATCGTACCATCTTTGGAGTTATTTTCGGGTAGGCTGAGATAAGGGTTTGTAGCGACTTTGATAGTAAGCTATTTAAGCCAATAAAAACCGCGTAAAATATGTTCAGATCTCTACTTGGGGGCAGCAGTTCAAGAAGGGATGGTGTTTGATTGGCCCCGACTACTAGCTGGCTCCAGCTGGCCGGCTAATGACGTCCACGGCTGACGCCACCTAACTCGATAAACATGACTTGCCGGGAATATCGTGAGTTATCCACCTCAGAGGCATCCAATTATTCGGTAATTGCTCAGAGTTAGGTGGCGTCAGCCGACGACGTCATTAGCCGGCCAGCTGGAACCAGCTAGTCGTCCGACCTGGAGAACCCCAGTAGACGCCAGGGGAATACTGGGAGTGAGCCACCTCAGAGGCATCCAATTATTCGGTAATTGCTCAGAGTTAGGTGGCGTCAGCCGACGACGTCATTAGCCGGCCAGCTGGAACCAGCTAGTCGTCCGACCTGGAGAACCCTAGTAGACGCCAGGGGAATATTGGGAGTGAGCCACCTCAGAGGCATCCAATTATTCGGTCGAATTGCTCTACCCTGGCGTTTACTAAGGTTCGTCATCTTCAGGTTGAACACGTGAGGATGATCGTTGTTGTTGATGAACAAATCCGTGGAGGTGAAGAGCATAGGGAATAGAATCTGAATTTAAGACGTCTGCGGACGAGATGAACAAGACCAGAAAGAGATCGACCTCTAGACCACACACGGGAAGACGGCGATTCTTCGCGACCAGGAAGAACATGAGGAAATCGGAATTTGCAGGGCGAAGGCGGACGAGGAATCTAGGGGAAGGTGCGGCCGCCGACCCCGTCACCGCGAGGGGGACCGGGACGATGATTCAGATGCGCTCCCCGGCTGGGATCGTCGCCGGGGCTCTTGTCGCTTTCCTGACTGGGGCAGCAGACCAGAGATCTGACAGATACAGTGAAGTCCGTGATGGTCTTGTTCTTGATCTCCAGCCTCCGAGGGTAGGGATTTCCTCTCCCACCCCTCGGAGATTCCGACTATTGGAGATCCATTCTCTCTGTCAAAGACCGCTGGAGAGGGCAGAACAGACAAAAATAGGAGAAGCAGACAGCGGCGGCGGTGGCGGAGCCGGAGCCGGAGGCGAGCAATTCTGCGTAGGGTGCACTGTCACAGGGTTAAGGTCAAGCGTACCTTGCTGCCTTCGCCTCCCGTCAGATTTGGTCGCCCTCAGCTGCCCCTAGCAGCCTTCTTCTCGCTGCGGAATCGCTCTTTTTCTCGTGAATACGCACAGTATTGGCCAAAGGCAAGAATCTACTTGCAGTGGATAGTGTGGACTAGAGCCACAATGAGGTTAGTAGCTTCCAGCCAGTGTGGGTAGTCCGAGTGGGATACTCGCAGTCCGGTTCATAGTCTAATGGTAGGTAAGAGAGGATATTCGCCGTCTGATTCGCATCCGAAGGCGAGCGTCTGCACTGATGAGGTTTTTACACGGCAGAATATTACATGTTCGGAGATTACGAACAGGGAAGGGAGCGAGAGGGCTGATAAAACAAAGACAAGCCGTCTATCACCGATCGTCTTCCCCACATCGGCGGAGAAAACCAGCTCAGGCAGGGTTCTTCATCTTCGGAGGGCGGAGAAAATCTGAAAACTTCCCTCCCCCCTCCTCGCGGGGGCTGATGCCATCGCGACGACAGACTTGAAGAGCATCCCCAGGATCTTCACCTTAATCTGCCCTCTCCTCGGCGGGAGGCTGCTCGTCGACTTCCGCCGCCCGCAATCCGCCGCCACACCGTAGGCCATCTCCAGGAGCTCCAGCGGCTGGGGGGTGAGCGATTATCTGACTCGGGAGTGGAGAGGCGAAGCGTGATGCTCTCAACGCCGCGCTGGACAGTATGAATGGAGATTTGACCGGTGTCTTACGTCTTCGACTTCTCATTCCCGGCGCTTGGTCTTGGACGGTGGTCCACTGCACACCAGTCGAAACTCTGAAGGTTTTTGGAGTCTTCTGAGTGAAGAGCACCATTTCCGGTGTGCTACTCGGCGTTGGCCGCTTTCATTTATGGCTTGCAGCGGAAGAGGACTATCATGGGGTCTTCCCACGCCGTAGCGGCGGGTATTGGGGCAGGGGAGGTCCGGCTTCGACATGAGCTCCACAGTGGGGCGCACGCGGTCAAAACGAGCGCACAGCTTTCTGACTTGGATCGGACGGGATTGACGAAGGGTAAGAAGAGGGCAGACAAGAGAGACTAAAAACGCTAGTGGAGCTCTAGAATTACCGACCGAATTTACCATTTGCGCGTATCGCCTCACACGCGCACCGTCGTCAAAATCCACGTCGTTGATAGTTTCCCACGAGCCGTCTCTTACGACGGATGTCAATAGAATGGGACGCACTTTCACATTGCATTTTACTGCTGACTCATGAGACCTACTTTGAGATTGTTTTAGTGCTGTGGGTTTTACATGACATGTCATGCGAAGTCAGCTGGGGGCGACGCAGGAATCTGAGAGGGCTCTCTCGCCCGGCAGGTAGAAAGAAGATGACGTTCCTCCGTGCGCCCTCAGGAGACACACCATGCAGGCGACAGGTCCTTCACGGCATTTCCATTGGTTTTGAGTTTCCCCGCTGTGTAATGCCCTGGGAGGGCATTACACTGCCGACGGTACAGCGATGGCCTACCATTTAACTTTCTTTCTCTTTTCTCCGCAATAGCCTGTTTTGACCATTGGATTTTTCGTCTGCACGAGCCGTGTGCCGGATGCAACGGAAAGGGACCGTCCCGACTGTGGAAAGCAGACCAACGATCTGATACATACGGCGAAGTCCATGGAGATCTTGTTCTTGATCTCACGCATGGCCTTAGGGTCCCCTTCTTAAATGGGAACCCTCGTGTAGCACGTGATCGAATGCATCTACTTGCGTATAAGTTCTGGGACTACCGTGCAGGCTGGCTGTTAACTTCTAGGGAGTGGGGAAAAGTGGTGGGGAACTTGCCGTCTGATTGTATTTTAGCGTGTTCGAGCTCGGTGAATTCGAAAATTTCCGAATCGTTCAGCCCCGGGAGCAGACTACCGAGGGGAATTCTATTGACGTTCATTGTTTTACACGGTGGGGGCAGATCGTTTACACCGAGTCACAGGGGGTAAATAATTACAAACCCCCCACCATTATATGCGAATGGATGGACATGAAGAAAGTTTTTCAAATTAGGTTTGTAAAACTGAGTGAACAGCCTAGTTGTGGTATTAGACATTTTTTAAGAGATATAAATGTAAATTAATATCATCAACTGATAAGAATGATCTCTACACATTTGGCAGAATTACGGATAAACAAGATATGTCATCATCTTCTTACACAATAGATCTGTCTCTCAATTGTATTGAATTTTATCTTTTCTTTTACAAAATTTTGGATAATTGACTCAAGTGCATTGAGATATATGTTCGGATGTTATTATGTTTATTTATCTATGATAGAAATTGAATTGTTATTTACCCAATAACCATATTTTGGTTCGTTTAGTTGGTGATGTGATGTTTGATCCTTGATTAATTCCTAATTATATTTTCTTTGCTCTTCAGTTCAAGTTTAATTTGTTATTTGTGAGTGTCATGATACTTGATTCACAATTTAAATTTCATTTTTTTATCACTTTGTAATTCATGACTCATATCACAAGATAATAATCGATAATGATAATAGAGCCAAATATTTTTACATTTTAGATATAGAAAGTAGTTGACTTCATTCTTACCTTATGCTTGATGATAAATGGGCAATTAAACATCTACATATGATGTCACGAAAATATCTCTAAAAATCCGTTTGATCTAGTGCATTGTGATATATGAGGCCACATCACACTATTACTCATATATGTCATTGATTTTTTTGACTATTGTTGATGATTCAATTTGATCTATGTAGATTTATCTTATAAAGAATTAATCAGATCTACATAGATTTTTTGTCATAATTGACACTTAATTTGACTGCAAGATCAAACCTTTGAGATCTAACAATGCCAAGAAACTTTACTTAAATGATTTCTTTAGTGAATACATTAATGAGCTTGACCCTAAAAATTTATAAAGTTTAATATTAATGTCAATATTTATTGAATGCCACTAGATCTTTATTTCTTAAATGATACATTCCACTTCAGTTTTGGATGAATTATACAAACACATTTCTAATCAATGAATTACTCTCTTTGTTTTAACAATAAGAGTTCTTATGAATTATTATATCATAAGTTTTTTGATTATTTAAGCATTAGAGTATACAACTATTTAACCTTTACCTCAACACTACATGTAAATCAAATTAAACTTCATATTCATGCAATATTTTATATTTTGATTTCATATCTCCTTAGCATAAAAGATTGTAGACTTTGTGGTGTTTAAGAGTAATCAAATATTTATCTCATGATTTGTCATTTTCATGCAAATGGGTTTCACCACCAATTAATTATATTTGTAGACCCTTTACAATATCTCTATCTTTATTTAGTTTTACTTATCATCATAGACAATATCTACACCTCATACTTGTTCCTCAAATACTACTTCATTCAATGTGTTTTGACTCAATCATCTATCTTATCAATGTGAAAAACTACTAGTGTCAATAAGGCAACATCTTATTAGCAAAACCTTGATATATATCTAACTTGATAAAATCAAATGATTATATCCATTGTCTACTTTCCTATCTTATACTTTTATATCCTTGTCACATAAACATTTTCTCATAAGTTTTTCTTCCAATGATTAACCTTGATTTTATCATCAAACACCCACCTTTCTTATAGACAAATAGTAATGAAGTCTTAGTTAGAGTTCGTGGAGTCAAATAATGAAACATTAATATTTCTTACCAATAGAAACATGCTATAAAATATCATTATGTTTATAATATCAAGTATCATTATCAATATAAATCTCAATTAGTTTCCGAGGGATATACTAAATAAGAAATAGTTTATTTTCTCAAAATGTTTTCTTTAATTACACTTAAACTCATACTAACCATTGTGTCTAGGGGCAAATGATATCTTGTTTAATCAAATGTCATTAATGTTTCTTTCAAGGAAAACTAATGAAAACAGTTTACATGGACTTACCTTTAGGATATCACAATAAGAGAGACTTACAATTGTAAATGTTTTGAAATATTTCTTACATTATTAGTTCAAACTTAATGATCTTGATTTTTTGAAATTATTTTTGAATTTAAAAATTTCACATTCTTTAACCATCATTAATTTGTCTTAACACCATTTTATCTTGAAATTACTTTGTGGAGAGACGGGTGTTGTAAACCCTTAGAATTGAGAGAAGGAAAAAAGAAAATGAGTATAAGGGTTTGTAGTCGCCCTAATGGGCCCCTAATGGGCCAGGTCCATAGTGGACTAATGCCACAATCTAATACTCTGCAACTTGGAGCGTATAGATCAAACATGTCTAGCTTGGTTCCTAGTGAATTATAAGAAATGTTATTGAGACTCTTGGTGAAGATGTAAACCAGTTGGTTAACCGATGACATGTGTGGAGTGATGATGATGCTCTTGAGAACCTTGTCTCAAATAGTGTGATAATCAATCTTGATGTGTTTGGTATGTTTGTGAAAGATGAGATTTGCTACAATGAAGATTTCAACTTAGTTGTCACAGTACATAAATAGTGGAAGCGGTGTCAAGACCTCCAATTCGTACAAAAAAGATTGGAGTCATACCGTCTCATATGTAGTATCAACTATCACAAAATATTCTATCTCAATACTAGAGCACCAAATGACTCACTACTTCTTGGAGCACCAAGTGACTAAGTTATTGCCAACGTATATGCAGTAGCCAGTAGTTGACTTGTAGTCACTTTTGTCACTAGTAAACTTGGCATCATAGTAGGCTTCAATACTTAGATGCCCATTGCGTTAGTAGATAAGCCTCTTTCTAGGCACTTGTTTGATGTATGTAAGAACGTGGAATGTTCCCTCCACATGTACCTCTCGAGGTTCTTACATTAATTGACTAAGAATGTCAATTACATAAGATATGTTCAGACGAGTGATAGTAAGATATAACAATTTGTCAAGTAGATGCTGATATCGATTGACGTCCTCTAATTTGGGAGAATCATCCTCCCAAAACATGGTCTAAGCCTCCATCGATGATGAAATAGGTTTACATCCTAGTAGCCCTATCTCCTAAAAAAGGTTCATCACATATTTCTTTTGAAAAAAGGTAAGTTTTCCTTAACGATAGGCAAACTGATGCAGGACGGGGCGAGAACCCCCTATACCTGATCAATGAAACTCGAGTCCCATGATGGGACAGTCGGACCGATTTAATAAGAAGATTTGGACCCTAGACTCTAGGTCTGACCACGTAACCTAAGCACAAGCAGGCATACCAATATGCGTGATCATCCCAGGACAACCCGGGGAAATACTCGACAATGGTGAGTGAGAGGCCCTCTCGGTCCACGTCCAGACAGACGGTAGAATTGTCGTCGTAAAGTAGCCTAGGGCTGCAGCTCACGAACTGTGACGAGTCTGACGCAGTGTCGGAAGTCACGATCCGATAACCTATCCTATCCTGTCTACGTGCTCCTGAAGGCGGTAGAGACGAGCCGAGAAAACCCTTCGAAAGATAATTAAACTTAAGTAAGAAGGGGTACGGAGCTAACCTTCAGGGCTGCGTAGCCCGGCGGGTCGTGACGGAGCGGAGATCCGACGAAGGCAGGGACGTCCTGTGAAGAGCGATGCTCAGCGTCGACGGTCGGTCCTGGTCGAGAGTCACGCAAGTCGTCTTAGGGCGTGGCACAGTCGGCGTGGGCGTGGGCCTGCAGGTGGGCCAAAGGGCACGCTAGTGGGCGTGGGCCCGCTGGTGGGCCGAAGGGCACGCGGGCAGTGGCGCCGGGTGGCCGCGCGGGCCGCAAGAGCCGGCGCGCGGGGCGCACGCGGCGGCAGCGCTTCGGCGGGAAGGCCGAGCGTCTGCGGCGCTTCGGCAGGGATGCCGAGCGTCAGCGGCGCTTCGGCGGGAATGCCGAGCGTCAGCGGTTGGGGCGGAAACCCAACCGTCACCGGAAGGATCGGCCTCTCTGGCGGCGCCGGGAAGCGGAGCAGAGAGGAGACGATCCGGCCGACGATACCAGGGAGGGTTGAGCTCTCCTGGTCTAAGCGGCGCCGGAAACGGCGCGACGGCGGCGGAGCGTCGGGAAAATCCGGCGGGGGCCAGTGAGGAGCTGGGACTGGTTCTGGCTCGTCAGCACGGCTGCGGGGTCTCTTCCGACGTCGGCGGCAGGTCGGCGTTCGTCGGCGAACGGCCAGCGACTGGGCGGAGCGGCGGAGGGCGGCTCCGGCGAATTTATGGTGGAGTTCCGGAGGAAGAGGCGGCAGTCGAACCGGGAGTCGAGAGACTCCGGCGGAGTGCTCGGCGACGGCTCGTGGGGGAGGCGAAGCGAGCCCCTTTCGTCACGGCGGCGTGACGGGGTTCCAGCAGAGGCGGCGGCGGATGCAGCGGCAACCGCGACCGTTTCGTCCGGTGACGGCGGCGAGCTCCCGGGCGGCAATGAGATGGCCGGCGGCGGCAGTGGTCTCAGGCGGCAGCGGGACTTCTCGGGCAGCAGCGTCACGAGGAACGAAGTCCTCGAAGGGGGTATCGACGGCCTTCCTCTTCCTCCTTCCCTCCCTATTCTTGGTCACGAGGAAGATAACTCACAACGATAATTTCTCTCAAAAATACGGCGCCCCTTGAGGGGGGGTCCTACCTCCCCTTATATGGGGGCCCACAAGTGGGCTAAGGCGAGGTGGGCCCACTTGAGACCCTCAAGCCCATAAGCCACAAAGGCTACAAAAAGGGGCTTATTGGGCCTCTTAAAGAGAGACCCAATAAGCTCCCCTAAAAGGAGGAAGAGGAGGGCCCTCTTATGGTGCTTAAGTGGGCCTCAAATAAAGACCCAAATAAGCCCCAAAAGAGGCCCAAAAAAAGAAAGGCACATAGGTCCCCCCCCTTAGGGTTTTAATTGGGCCTCAAAGAAAGACCCAATAAAACCCTAAAGTAAGAGAGACAAACAACAACACACACACATAGAATTGGGCCCGCTAACACACAAACGCGAGGCCCAACAAGTCAACATGAAAATACAAAGAAAGATATGGGTGAGCTCAAGCTCGTCGTCGTCACGGAGGTGGAATGTCGTTGTCCCAAAGGGCTAGGCCGTGTAGCGAAAGCCAGGCTCCTTCGTCTTCGTGCGTCAATCGGGCTGAACTTGGACTGCCGGTGTCTCCTAAGCTGATGGAGACAGGTCCCGCTCGCCATCAATCCTCCCGAGGTCGAAAGAACTCGACTCCGACGAGTTGGCAAGTGGGGAAGGCAGGGGCTCCAGCAGGTCTGGTCGTAGTCACTCCAGGTCCGCCTCCGAAATCCAAGCATCGTCTTCCGACGGGTGACCCTGCCAACATACTAGGAATCTCCGCGAAACTCCATCCCCTGTAAAGTCAATTACCTCCCGAAGAATCTCCTCGACTTGTTCGTGCCAATCAAGTGGTAAAATGGGGAGAGTGGACTCCATGGCAAACTCTCTCTTAGAGAAGAGGCCAGTAGATGAGGGCTCGACGTCAGATGAAAGAGGTGGGGCTTGGTGCGACGCCAGATCTGCCACGTTGAACGTGGAGCTAATCCCCCACAAAGGAGGGATGTCGATGACATAGGCGTTCTCACCTATCCAGGAAAGAACACGAAACGGGCCGACGCTACGAACGTGAAGCTTCGTAGTAGAGCCAGGAGCGTAACGCTCGGGCCTCATCCTCACCATAACCTGGTCTCCCACCTGGAAAATCCGGGGTCGACGATGCATATCGGCAGCCTGCTTGTACAATGCATTATGACTCTGTATCCTATTATGGATGTCCTGATGCAATTGACTAACATGTTGGGCGAATGTGACACCATCCTCAGAAACTCTAACATGAGGGTCTAGGGGTACTAGATCTAGGGGCTTGCGGGGTGCTAAGCCATGTGCGATCTCGAAGGGGCTCATGTCAGTGGTATGGTTGGTCGAGGAGTTATAGGCAAACTTGGCGTGTGGGATGATCAGATCCCAAGTGGTCAAGCTCTCACCGACTAATGACCGAAGTAGATTCCCTAAGCTATGATTGACGACCTCGATCTGGCCGTCAGTCTGTGGGTGGTAAGTAGTGGAGAACTTGAGCTCAGTCCCAAGTAAGCTCCAAAGAGTCCTCCAGAAGTAGCTAGTAAACCGTACGTCACGGTCTGAGACTATGGACTTGGGTAGTCTATGAAGGCGCACAATCTCTCTAAAGTAGAGGCTAGTGACCTTGGAGGTGTCGGAGGTTTTCGAACATGGCACGAAGTGTGCCATCTTTGAAAACCTATCGACGACCACCATGATCGAGTCGTGTCGTCGTGTAGTGCACGGGAGTCCCAAAACAAAGTCCATGCTGACGTCCTCCCATGGGCGGGTCAGCACTAGAAGTGGCGTGTAGAGTCCAGCATTCTTCTTTACCTGCTTGGTGAGTGCGCACACTCGACACTGAGCAACGATGTTCCCTACATCGCGCTTGAGGGTCGGCCAGTAAAACTGGTGCTCGACCACTGCGATGGTCTTATCGCGACTGAAATGGCCAGATAGACCTCCTGCATGACATTCCCAAGTGAGGAAGTCACGGAGGGATGTGCATGGAATGCACAGTCTGCTCCTAAAGAACAGACATCCTTTGACCACAAGGAAGTCCTTATGATCTCGGGATGGACCATCCGAGAGTGCTCGTACCCTGAGTGGCACTTGGCACTGTCGACGAATGGGTAGTGCAGTGGCGTCTATCCACGATACGTCGTAAGGGGCTGGATGGCTGATAGTACTCAGCCTTGCCCTCTGCAAGACTTGGTCTGACACAGTACTGACGCAACTGCCGCTATCAATGATCACCTTGTACACGTGTTCGTTGATCTTCACATAAGTGTAGAAGATCGACGTGCAAAGGGGATCATCTATCGTAGGCGAAGATGTGGGCATAGTTGTCCTCGGTGCCGGGGTAATCTCTCTAGCTGCCGTGGTGTTTGGGTGTGGTGTAGGAATCGTGTCTCGAGATGGACGCTGGACAGCAATGCAGACCCGTCTCCTGGATGAAGTGCTCATCGATGAGACAGTGAGAGAGGCAGCCTCAGCTGCTGGTACGGTGGCTGGCCGGATCTGGGTGTAGCCAGTCAAATCAGGAGTGTCATCACACTCCTCAACCAAACCCTCGTTAGCAATGTAGACATCATCGCCTACAAGGACATCATCCTCGTGTGAACTACTACCCAATTCTTTGATCTCTATGAGGAGATTCGAAGATGGGCATTGGCTCATATAGTGCCCTTTACCCTTACACTTGAAACAAGTGATATGGGCTTGGGACGTGGCCGTAGCATGGTCGGATGTGTCGGCTGGTGGTGGACGCGGGAGTGGTGCAGACCCTACTGATGTCGCCGGTGTAGTCCATCTGTTCCCTCCGCTAGTACGCGTCGGTGCTGTCGTCAATGTCTGTGCAGATCGCCTAGACGCGATCTTTGTGGTCCTCGGAGGTGGGATGAACTGTGTGTCTTCGGCCGGTCGCTCCATATGCTCTACTATGCGGTACCACTGAGAATAGGAGTTCATACTAGACTCCCAATCTATGAAGTCTTTGAGCTCATGGGAGCTGTCAAAGACTGCCACATCAGCATGCACACCTTTCAGTATGCGGGCCCTATGATCCTCACGTCGCCTATCCTGATCATCCAATCGATCGGCCCTATGGTCACCACCAAAGTCACAATGGGGAGGACTCGGGTAACGCCCTTGATCGTAGTAACAATCTTGGTGGGCGTCCTGGGGTGCTCGGTGAAAATCCGAAGCACGCTGGTAGTCGCGGTAGTAATCATCGCGATCTCGTGGCTGACGCTCTACTCGCTGATCAAGCTCCTCTTGTTGGGAAGGGTCAGCTCTGTAACCCGGAAGGTCTCTCCTGTTGTGTCCCTGGTCATGTCCGTGGGGTCGATAGTCCTCATAGTGGGGTCGGGGTGGTGGTGGTAGCGGGTGTGGGAGATCATCCCTACTACCAGGGTAGACCGGCTTGCGGCAATCATAAGTATCCTGTGGCCAACGATGGCCCAATCGATCGTGGCCATCGTCGTGACGAGGTGCGTCATGACAACGAAGATTCTCTCGACGATGATCATGATCAAGGTACTGGTGATCACATGGATCACTATAGGGGCTCACGGGCCGGGGGGGCTCGCGATGCTCTTGATATGCCTGTGTAACAGGCGGTGTGGTCAGTGGTGCGACCGGATACGCGACCGGCAGTGGAGCCGATGGCAGTGGGCCATAAGCTGCGGCTACTTTTGTCACTAGTAAACTTGGCATCATAGTAGGCTTCAATACTTAGATGCCCATTGCATTAGTAGATAAGCCTCTTTCTAGGCACTTGTTTGATGTATGTAAGAACGTGGAGTGTTCCCTCCACAGGTACCTCTCGAGGTTCTTACATTAATTGACTAAGAATGCCAACTACATAAGATATGTTCAGACGAGTGATAGTAAGATATAACAATTTGTCAAGTAGATGCTGATATCGATTGACGTCCTCTAATTTGGGAGAATCATCCTCCCAAAACATGGTCTAAGCCTCCATCGATGATGAAATAGGTTTACATCCTAGTAGCCCTATCTCCTAAAAAAGGTTCATCACATATTTCTTTTGAAAAAAGGTAAGTTTTCCTTAATGATAGGCAAACTCAATCCCAAGGAAATATTGTGAAGTAGAAATGTAACGAGTCACGAAGTGCTGATGAAGATATGTCTTCGTAGTAGCGATGCCAACCTCATCACTATTGGTCAAGTTGATATCATCAATATAGACTGACACCCACCCAAGGTGGTTTTGTGCATCACGATCAGATCAATTATTCACGGAATAAACCTACAAGTAGTAATGAGATGTGTGAACTTTTCAAATCAGGTGTGAGGACTCTACTTGAGCCCATAGATAGTTTGGTTGAGTAGACACACTTGAGAAGTCTTTCCCTAAATAACATACCTCAGAGGTTGCTCCATGGATTATTATTCAGTGAGATCACCATAAAGGAAGACATTGACAATATCTAACTAATAGAGAGACCATGCCTGATTGACTACTAGAGATAAAAATACATGGATGGAGTTGAGACGAACTATGAAAGAGAAGATTTTCGTGTAATCAATGTCATAGATAGTGAAGCCGTGAGCAATGAGACACACTTTGTGATGAGCAATAGAGTCATCGAAGTTGTACTTGAGGGAGTATACCCAATTGCAAGTCACAATATTGGTGTCAATCAAATGAGAAATGAGCTGCTAGGTGCTGCATGAACTAAGATAGAGTACTTGACATTCATCGCCAACTTTCCCTTAGGTACTTGAAAAGCCTCATGATATCTCTCGAGTATCGACTCAGATGAGATAGAGAAAGCAAAGCTTGAAAGGTAGGGTGAAGGTGATCATATGAAATAAAATGAGAGATGAGATGTTGAGTGTAGGAGCGAGTGCCTTTGCATAAGGTAATGGAAAGATGAAGATCATCAGGTGAGGAGGTAAAAGAGGTAGGAGAAATTGACGGGAGTGGTACCAAATCGGAGGAGGGGGGCAGAGACTTGACAAGTGGGTTAGACAACGAGGATGGAGAGGGTAGTGAAAACGCATGAGAGTCATGGATCATTAGAACATGTGAGAATGATGATGGAGGAAAACTAGGAGGTTGTTAGGAGGACATCGGACAAGGAACAACGAAAGAAGAGAAGTAAAGGATGTCCTCATGAAAAGTGACTTCTGTAGATGTGAGATACCGATGAGTGTCAGACAGATAGACTTGATATCCCTTATGAATTCAAGAGTAGCCAACGATGACACCTTTCAAGGCGCGAGGTGCTAACTTAGAGAGAGAAGTATGGTCGTGCACAAATATAGTGTAGCTAAATATCTAGGGAAGGAGAGGAAAGAGGTTGGTCTAAGGAGAAAGCCGATGTAATAGAATTATGCCACCAAGAGTGAACGAGGGTAGGTGATTGACAAGGAATGTGGCAATGAGGAAGACATCAGACCAAAGATAATGCGGGACATGCATGGCTATGAGGATTGTGCGAGTAATGTCAAGAAGATGCCGATGCTTCCTTTTAGTGACATCATTTTGTTGAGAAGTGTAAAGACAAATAGTCTAATGAATCATGTCACGGTTCTTACAGAAACTCTGAAAGATATTTTGGACAAACTCTAGGGCATTGTCTATGCAGAGAATCTTAGGGGTAGTAAAGTACTATATAATAATCTTCGTAATGTACTGACAAACTATGTTGCATATTTGAGAGTGGTATTTGAAAAGATATACTCATGTAACACGAGTATAGCTATCAATAAAGATAATGTAGTATTGCAACATGTTAGAGAAGTAACTCGAGATGACCCCCACATATTACAATAAATGAGGTCAAATGGTCGAAAAGTGGGGATAGAATCTTGAGGTGGATAGGTAGAGTAGTGATGCTTGCCTATGTTGGCACGACTCACACACAAACTCAAAAAAAGTAAGTCATTGAAGGGATTTTTGAAGTTTCAATAAACATGGATGTTCCATATAACGATGTCACAAAATAAATAAAATTTGTGTGGAAGAAACAAACAAAGTTAGAAGTCCCAAGGAAAGAGAGTAAAGAACAAGCTCATAAATGTCACTACTGTTTTCACGACCCAAATCAATCTTTCAATTGGTACGCAGGTCTTGGAAGACACAATGGTAAGGGAAGAAGACAGCGACACAGTATAGTGGACAGCTGATGGCACTAATCAACACAAGATTTTTAAGAAAACCAGAAATATAAAACACACCTTGGAGTGGGAGATTGACGGTGAGAGTAGTCATGTCAATCCTTTTGACAAGGCAAGAACGATCATCAGTGATGGAGATAGAAGAAAGATAATCAGTGGATGTAAGAAAATGGAGAAGGGAAGGGGACCCATGTCATATGAGTAGAGGCCCTTGAGTTGATAAGCTAAGAAGTATCAGAGGCTAGTAAAGCATGTGTACCTAAAGTGGGTGCATCATATACGAAAGTAGAGGCAAGGATGGCAAAGGAGTCATAAGAGGAAGCACGAGAGGCCTTCCATTCTGCATACTATTCAAGAGTCATGGTCATTTGGACCATAGGAGCATATGATGCATGCATAAGAGCCATAAAAGATACACTGTCAATGATCGCGGCTTGACCCTATACCGGTTTGTCAAACTCCTTTCAACATTTCTTAGTCTGGTGATTTTTTCCACCATAATACGAGCATAGAGGGAAAGAATTCTTTTGCTTAGTCAATCCCTTCTCCTTCCTGATGGTCTTAGAGCCACGACCTCCACCAGCACCTGTAGTAGCAAGTGAAGAGGGGTCAAGAGATGTAAGAGTGACAATAGCAAGAGGCATGTGATAAGTCTTCATTATCATGAGTTAATAATTAGTAAATAATATAGTTTTAGCCTTAACTCATGATAAATAGACTTATATTTGTGTTAAAGTATGATTTGTGGTTTTCAATTGATTAACGTGAATTTTTGGGTAATTATGTGATTTTATACAATTTTTACAGTCTTACTTTTGAGATAAATGAAGAACAAGAAATAAAAATAAAAATATTGCAAAATGGGGGGACTTGTCGGCCAGCCGGGCCCGCAAGCGGGTTGGAAGCGCAGTCGGGGAGTAGCCGCGAGCAGGGGCTCGAGCAGCTTAGCTTGGACTGATAGGGGCACGTGTGTGCTACTCCCCTTCCACGTCACCGGTGGCCAGCTGGCTGTGGGGCAAGGAGTGGTCGTACACGCGAGAGAAGGGACTTTGCTTACAAAGCTAATATTACTATATATTCACCCAAAAAATCGGCGCACAACCGATGTGGGACTAAACCTGCGTCACACCTTCCTCAGAGGCGGGCGACCGGTGCGGGTTTGAATCCTCCCAGAGTCAAAATTCATATATTTTTATCTGATTATCGCGACTTTCCTACAGATTGCCGGTGAAGGATTAAGCAACGAGAATCGCTGGATCATCGGCAAAAATCTCATCAACGCGATTCGCGGAGCATTGCTACTAAAATTATTGAGCAATTCGCGATAAAAGGATCACGAATCCATCGAGTAAAACATCTCCAATTGATCGACAAACAAGCCATCGTCGGGAAGAGGACGATCCACCGGGAGACGAGTCGCCACCTCCTGAGAGCGTACCAGATGCGATGAAGAGCCTCCTTTTGCTGCGCGGACTTGAGGATGAAGCTCCCTGACATGCGCCCCACCTCCATCCAGCTCCTCTCCGTCGGGTGACAGCCGCCGGAGAGCTGCAAAGTCGCCATTTTTCCACTCCGCCAAGTGACAGTCGCCGGAGATGATTCGACGACCCACTTCATTGATCTCTAGACTTCACGAGAAGATCTAGAGATTGCCCACGTCGTCTTTGTCCAAGGAGAGCCTTCAAGGCCGTGGACACTGCACAACGATCCTCTCGAACGCTTAAGATTCCGGTGCATTGCCGACGCATCGCCGTCGCGACGTCGGAACTTTGTTTTCCTGCTTTCAATTTACTTTACGCTTCATTTAGTGATAACTTTTGTGTTTTTAATTTATCAAAATATACTTTGTTCTATTACGATTCTTTCGGCTTTTACAGATCTTAATTTGATCAATTAAATCGTCTGTAATCGCTTACGTAAGAATCGCCGAGCGGAACTCTGTTTCTGCCCGATTCGCGTTCACCGGGGCGCTGACGTCATCTTGACGTCCGCGCCCTTATTTCCCTTTTTCGTGAATTTTAAATATATTTCTTTTTTATTTCCTAGTATAAAATTCATATAAAATCGTATTCATTGAGAAAAATTCTGAATAATTACCAAATATTATATTACATCCTTGTGATCGACCTAGAAAATTACTACTTTTTTTGGAAGTTTATTGAATTATAATTGATATATTTATTTAGAAATACTTCTAAATATCTGAAAATTCGTATTTTCTAGTTTTATAAATTTTATATTTACGTGATTT